ATGGCCTAAATAAGTGGGAAGATATACCACGTCTGCTCTCTGAAATACACTGGAAGATATTCAAGTAAGGAAAAGAAACACACATACTGAGAGAAAATATTTGCAAAACATATATCTGATAAAGGATGAGTATCCATAATGCATAAAGAACTCTCAAAATTCAATAGGAGAAAATATTGGCAAACCATATATCTGATAAAAGGTAAATTTCCAAAAGATAAAATGATTCTTACAACTTAACAGCAAAATAAACACAAAATAACATGGTCTAAAAATGGTCAAAGGGAATTGGGAAGAAAAAGAAACCCTAAACAGATAAATAGCGAGTAGCAAGATTGAAACAATAATTAGAAGTCTCCCAACAACAACAACAAAAGTTCAGAACCCGAAGGACTCAGCCAAATTCTACCGTACGTTCAAAGAAGAACTGGTATCAAGAACTGACCCTATTCCATGACTGAAGAAAAGGGAAGTCTCCTTAACTGATTCTACAAAACCAGTATCACCCTGATACCAAAGCCAGGAAAAGACACAACAAAAAAAGAAAACTACAGACCAGTATCACTGATGACACAGATGTGAAAATCCTCAACAAAATATTAGGCAACTGAATTCAACAGCACATAAAAAATTAATAATCCACCATGATCAAATGGGTTTTATTCTGGGGATGCAAGGATGTTTCAACATACACAAGTTAATAAACATTATCCACCACATAAATAGAGTTAAAACCAAAAATCATTTCAATAGATGAAGAAAAAGCATTTGATAAAACCAAGCATCCCTTCATAGTAAAAACCCTCAGCCTAGAGGGAAAACTCCTCAAAATAATAAAAGCTATATATGATAAACCCACAGCCAATGTCATCATGAATGGAGAAAAGTTGAAAAACTTCCCCCTCAGAAACGGAACATTGTAAGGATGCCCACTTTCACCACTTCTATTCAACAAATTACTAGAAGTCTTAGCAGAGCAATCAGGCACAACAAAGAAATAAAGCGTATCCATATTAGGAAAGAAGACATCTATCTATCTTTGTATGCTGATGATATGATCTTATATCCTAGAGAACCCTAAAGATGCCTTCAAACAACTACCGGACTTGATAAATGAATTTTAAAGTTTCAGGATACAAAATCAACACACAGTAGCACTGTTATACCTCAATGTGACCAAGCTAAAAATCAAACCAAGAGCTCAACTCTATTTGCAATAGCAACCGAAAAGCTAAAATATCTAGGAATATATTTAACCCAAGATGTGAAAGCTCTCTAGAAGAACTACAAAACTGTTTTTCCAAAACTACAAAACTGCAGAGGACACAAACGGAGAAACATCCCATGCTCATGCATTGGAAGAATTAAGAGTTAATGCACTCCCTATCAAGCTACCAACATAATTTTTTAACAGAATTAGAAAAAAAATCCAAAATTCTCTATGGAACCAAAAAAGACCCAGAATGGCTGAAGCAATTCTGAGCAAAAGTAACAAAGTTGGAGGTATCACATTACTTGACTTCAAGTTATACTTCAGGACTATAGTAACCAATACAGCATGGTACTGCTACAAGAGCAGGCACCTGGACCAATGAAACAGAATAGAGAACTCAGAAATAAACTCAAATACCTACAACCAACTGATCTTTGATAAAGCAGACAAAAACATACACCAGGGAAAGGACATTGTATCCAACAAATGGTGCTGGGAAAATTGGATAGCTACATACAGAAAAATTAAACTAGATCTCTATCTCTCCCCACATGCAAACATTAACTCAAGACTTAAATGTCAGACCTGAAACTATAGAAATCCCAGAAGAAAACCTTTAAAAAACCTATTATGGACATTGTCCTAGGCAAAGAATTTATGGCTGAAAGAAAGCTACTGCAACTACAACAAAAATAAATAAATGAGACAACTAAACTAAAAAACTTCAGCACAGAAAAACAAATAATCAACCCACATAATGGGAGTAGATATGTGCAAACAATACATCTGACAAAGAACTAATATCCAGAATCTACGAAGAACTCAAACAAATCAGCAGAAAAAAGCAAATAACCCCATTAAAACGTGGGCAACAACATGAATAGATGCCTCTCAAAAGAAGATATACAAATGACCAACAAACATATGAAAAGATACTCAGCATCACTCATAATCAGGGAAATGTAACTTAAAACCACTGCGAGATACCACTTTACACCAGTCAGAATGGTCATTACTAAAAAATCAAAAACCAATAGATGTTGGTGCATATGCAGAGAAAAGGAAACACATGCATTGTTGGTGGGAGTGTAAATTAGTACAATCTCTGTGGAAACTGGTATGGCGTTTACTCAAATAACTAAAAGTAGATCTATCATTTTATCCAGCAATTCCCCTACTAGGTATCAACCCTAAGGAAGAGAGGTCATTCTATAACAAAGACACCTGCACTCGCATGTTCACTGCAGTGCAATTCACAATTGCAAAGATGTGGAATCAACATAAATGCTCATCAAGCAATCCATGGATAATGAAAATGTGGTATATATACACCATGGGATACGGTACAGCCATAAAAAAATGAAATCATGTCCTTTGCAGCAACATGGATGGAACTGGAGATCATCATACTAAGTAAACTGACTCGGAAACAGAAAACCAAATGCAGCATGTTCTCACTCATGTTAGGAGGCAAATGGTCACAAAAATGGAAATAATAGATACTACAGACACCAATAAAATGGTAACAAAGAGGGGTTTTAGGGTTCAGAAACAACCCACGGAACACAATGTTCACTTTTTAGGGAGTGGGCTACCTGAGACACTCCACCACTACACAATATGGCCATGTAACAAATAGGCATGTGTACCTCTGGGAAAAAAAATACAAATAAAAATGGACAAAGGAGTTGAGTAGATATTTATCTACAGGAGACATATTAAAGTCCAATAGGTATATGAAAAAGGTCATCAACATCACTAATCATCAGAGAAATGCAAATCAAAAAACACAATGAGATATCAGCTTATGCCAGTTAGTATGGCTACTACCAACATAAACAAAATATGTGTTGATGAGAATGTGGAGAATTTGGAACACTTGAACACCATGGGTGAAAGTGTAAAATGGTATAGCCACTAAGGAAAACAGAATGGAGGTTCCTCTAAAAATAGAACTACCAAATGATTCAGTAATTCCACTCCTGAGTATATAACCAAAGGGAATGAAAGCAGGATCTCAAAGAGCTGTGTAAACTCCCAAGTTTACTGCAGTATTATTCACAATAACCAAGATCTGAAAATAATCCAAATGTCCACCAACAAAGGAATGGATAAATAAATGCAAATCCAAACCACAATGAGATATGCATTGGAATATACATACAAAGGTATATACACACATGGAATATTATTCAACCTTTAAAAAGAAGGAAATTCTACCATTTGCAATAAAATGTGTGGATCTGGAGGACGTGTGAATAAGTTTTAAAGATCTATTGTACAACATAATGCCTATAGTTAACAATATAGTATTGTACTCTTAAAAACTGTTAAGTGAGTAGATCTTATGCTAAGTGTTCTTACTACCAAACAAGTAAACAAAAAAGGCAAGGGTACAAGTAATATTTTGGAAGTGGTGGATATGTTTATTATCTTGTTTGTGGTGATGGTATCACAAGTGTGTATATATGTCACTTGTGTGTATATGTTTACACATATATCACAAGTGTGTATATATGTATAAACTCGTCAAAATGTATACAGTAAATATGTGTACCCTTTAAAAAATTAAGTATACCTCAATAAAATTTTTAAAAGGACAAGGTAAATCATTAAAAAGTACTGATAAATGCAAAATCTAATATAAATTTAGATTTACCTGAGATGCGAAAATGATATTTTAATATTATCTTGACATAATTTTTTCTGTGAAGTGTTTTTGGTTGCTTGTTTGTTTAGTGTTCTTTTTATGGAGAACTTCTACATTCCAATAATGGTGAATGCTCTGAATGTACAATGGCTCTGAATATACAAGGGACACTAAATTTCAGCAGAGTAAACTGATATGAAATATAACAAAAAGTTTTTCCTCAATAATAAGCTTTGTTGATCCTGAACTACTTCATAACACTAGGTCAAGGCTTCAAAAGGAGATATTTAAAAAGGGAATGTTAAGTTACATACACATACAGTTTAAATATCACTTGTAATGAGAGATGACAGTAGTAAACCTTTTTGGCTTTCAGTCTATTCATACTTTTGTAAATTTAAGCAAAAATAACAATATTTAAGTTTAACTTAAGTTCAAGAAGAACTGAGAAAAAAAGGCAATTACACTTCTTGGGGAAACATAGAATAAAATGAAATGACTGTAGGTTTAGATTCAGATTAAAGAATACTTCGCTGTTTCAAATTTCCTCTGGTTCAGAAGTTACAGGTTTTAGTCATTTTAGACCTTGAGTTTAACGATTCAGTCCATGGATGGATTCTACGAAATGTAAATATTTAGTTTGATTTGATTAGGTATTCATAGTTTGCACTTATTTGAGGCTTATTATTTGATTCAATTTAAGGTCTCAGTTTTGCAGATTTTCTCAATTAAAGATAATTTTCTTGACTTTGAGGTCAAGGACTGAGAGATTCAACAAATATTTACTAATCTATTGGAAGCAAACTTACTATTTTGAGAATTTGTTATGTAGAAATAGCTTACTGGTAGACTGTATGGCTTCTGCTACTCATAATTTGGAGGGGAGACTCATTAACATGGGAAAATCATAGAAGTATTTCCAAAAGGATAGACAAAATAATGTTAAAACTTTAAAAAAGTTATCAGCAGCTGATGCTTCAAAGTGAGTAATTCATGAAAGAAAGGAGAAATCTTCAGAGAAGACAGTGGGAAGGAGTGGCCTACCTATAATAATTCAAAAAGTCATCACACTGGGCAAATACAATTATATGTTAGAAAATAAGTACATCAAAATTAGCTAGAGCCCACTGAACCTACCTGAGCAAGAAGCTTATTCTCAAATAGTGTTTCATGTTGAAAACAGTTATCCAGCCCATGCTCCTTGGTAATATGTTCAGACTCATCAGAGAAGAGGGCAGCATCCCCATCAAAGGCCACACGGAGCTGGGTGTCACAGTAAGACATGTCTTTGGCTCCATCATACATGGTTGCAGAGGCGATTCCTGATAAATCATGGAGTCTGATTAACACTCTTCTCAGGATTATGGATTTCTTCCATTAAAAAGAAAAACTATCCTAAACTATGTTTCTCTCTAGCTATTATCTGATGAGTCAACTCCTCTTCACAATCAAAAATCTGGGTAATTGTCTATGCACTGCCTCTTTCTAGAGGGATGAGAAAGTATAAAATGAATATTAGGACAACTAGGGAGGATCTCCACCCTCAGGAAACCCAAAGCTCTAAAGGACAAACTTAAGTGCTGCCACATGTGGAAAAACCTTAGCAAAAAATCCAACAAGAACATAAGCCTCATAATTGTATGTGAAACCCAGTGTAAGTAACCATCAGTGCAAACATCTTTATTAACTAGAGAGATAAAACCAGACTAATACCTTCTTGTATTGCTTCTTGTACATTTTCAGAATCTGCAGAAAGATACAAGTTGGTGAGATATGCCTTCAAATAGCCAATGGGGCTTTTTCCACCAGTCAGGCAGAAGCGGTCAATCAGTAAGCCTATTATCAGGCAAGAAAGACTTTGTTATGGCAGAGACTAAAGATAAAACACTGTAAATCCAAGTATAAGTTACCTTAGAAATAACTAAGTTTATGTGTAAATCAAATGACTTCATTTCTAAATCCAAATGAAAATTATCTTAGAAATACTCGTTTTATAGTTATCTTCATAGCACCAATACTGAAACATTTCTTAGCTATTTCATACAATAGTGTGTGTGTTTGGTACATTATAGTTATGAAGTATATTGACATGGACCATGCTACTTTACTCTCCCAACTGTACTGCAGGTATTATCATCCTCATTACAGAAAAGGAAACCAACTTGTCTAGCCCACTGGCTCATATACATAGGGCACATTTGAGCCCAAATGTTTGCCTCTTGTCTAGACTTGAACAGTTCTCTTTTGCTTGCACTACAGCCTCCTTGCTTATAAAGGGCCCATTAAGATGTGGCTCAGCCGGGCTCGGTGGCTCAGCATGTAATCCCGCGCTTTGGGAAGCTGAGGTGAGTGAATTGCCTGAGCCTCAGGGTTCGAGACCCACCTGGGCAACTTGGCGAGAACTCACCTCCACAATAAATCAAAAAAATTAGCCAGGCGTGGTAGTGCGCGCCTGTAGTTCCAGTTACTGGAAGGGTGAGGCAGAAGGATCGCCAGAGCCCAGCAGGTCGAGGCTG